ATGATAAAAAAAATACAGTGCTTATAAAATTAAAAAAGTAAATAATATTAAAGTATTTTATTTTCTCTCTTGTCCATCAGCTACAAAAAGCCATAGAAGGCACAGCGCAGTCCGGAGTCCGGCTACAGCCCCCGTTTGCCAGTTTCCGGGATGCCAGCCGCAACTTGTCCCAGAGGAAATCCCAAAGGGCCGTTCCGAAGTCCCCACCTTCCCCCGATCCTTCCATGGTTCCCGATGACGCAGCCACGTCGGCGGCCCCCGAACTGACCCCGGACTCCGAGTTGGACGATCTGTCCGGTCAAGGATCGGAAAACGTGTCGCAGATCCTGAGGGACTTCCAGGTGTCTGCGGAACACAGTGACGATGATGCGCCACTGTAGTCTAGACCCATAATCCCACGGGGCAGAGTATCCCACCCATGATTTTTGTTCAAGGGGAGCATGGCTATTTTTGGGAAGCGGAAGATGTGACGAAGGTTTTGAACGCAGGACGCTTTCTGTGACGAATTTCATTTAAAAAAAGGGCCCTTTTGGGAGGCCTCGGGAATGCTTTACATACTTACATTAAGTACGTGCCAACGTTTATGGAAACAATGCTTAGGAAAGGCTTCATACAAACCCATAGGCTTGAGACTGGTGGCCCTTCGGCGCCGGTCTCAACATCTGCTTCACAAAGCGGCAACCTCAAAGGCTGATAACTAGGCCAAAGCTCTTCATTCCCAGCCAGAATATCTGGTGCCAAAGCTGCAATCATCAACCAGCATCTACCCAGAGAAGGGGAGCACCAGGGAATGGCCTCATCGCTGAATGGTCACTTTGCAGTCGCTGCCACTGGAATTTTGTTTTTCTCTCTTCATAACGTTTCAGATGAATGTTTAGGTCGTCCTTTCTCAGCCAGGGGTCCATGAAAGGGGGTAACTTAAGGTTCAATTAGAGGATGCTTGGGGGTTCTTTACTGACTACCAACATTAAGGGGCAATTTTCTATTGACCATCAACATAAGAGGCAATTTGATTCTCCAACTTACCATTCATGGTACTATCCCATCAACTTTAGATATAATCATTTGAGCAGGGGTTCCTGGAGACCTGAAAAATTGCAAATGCAAAGTGATTGGTCCCCTTTAAATGTAAAGTGATTGATTTCCTCTAAATGCAAAGTGATTGGTCCCCTTTAAATGTAAAGTGATTGATTTCCTCTAAATGTAAAGTGATTGGTCCCCTTCAAATGCAAAGTGATTGGTCCCCTTTAAATGTAAAGTGATTGATCCCCTTTAAATGTAAAGTGATTGGTCCCCTTTAAATGTAAAGTGATTGATCCCCTTTAAATGCAAAGTGATTGATCCCCTTTAAATGTAAACTGATTGATTTCCTCTAAATGCAAAGTGATTGATCCCCTTTAAATTAAAAATGATTGATCCCCTTCAAATGTTCCCAGAAGCCCAGCCTCTTATGTCTGCCAGATCTCTGCACCGCCGCCTTCTAGGAGAACCGAGCAATGTCACCAAGCCCAGGCAACGGATAGACACAGTCCATTCAAACCTATGTTAGGTGGCCTCACCCATCAAAGCCTGAAGACTGATCTTGCTTGCCAAGTTGCCTCTGGAAGCACATGCAAGTTGCCGCTTTTCATTTCAAGGGTGTGATCGCCGGGGCCTCTGAACGCAGCCAGTGGATCAAATCATAAGCCAAAATATAAGTGAAAATAAAGTCCATCAAGAATGAACATTTATTGAAAGCCATATCGACTCGCCGACACAAATGAGGACATCCGGGTATGATGTCATCAAGATCCCGACCTATCAGTGTGCAGTGTGCGATGATTGACAATCTGGGGGTTCTGCTTTGATGGAAATCTTTTTTCAGTGGATCTGCTGGGGTCAGAGGAACGCCAAAACTTCCAATCCCGAGATGCCTCGGCCATACACACAGTGCAGGAACCTACAGTGCAGTGACATGGAATCTGACGGTCATTGCACATTGAAGTCCTTTTAGTGCCTTATTTACTAAGTCCTCAAGTCTTAACATTTACTGAGATAGCAATACAAGCCGGTAATGTGCATAGAGAGTAGTGAAGGGTTAAACCTCTGTGTCTATATATATATATATGTAACCTTCTCCTGTAATTCAGAGGACTGTCCATGCATTCATATCTGTAAACAAATATGTCAAGGCAACTGGACTTGCTGTATTTTTTTTAAAGACGTTTCACTGGTCATCCGACCAGCTTTCTTAATTCAGAATTCTGATTTGAGAAAGCTGGTCGGATGACCAGTGAAACGTCTTTAAAAAAATACAGCAAGTCCAGTTGCCTTGACTTGTTTTTTTTACAGGTATACCATGACCTGGATGAATGAGAACCTTCACAGACATGTTCATGCATCCGGTTCTGATCATGTGACCACTGCCATGGCTTAGGTGTTATGGCCTCTGCAGAAATCTCCTGGGGGGCGGGGCTAGGTCCCTTGGCCTCTCTGCCACCAAACATTGATCCCGCAGCTACAGTTTCTTCCTGCAGCAGACTGATCACTGGGGGAGGGGAGACTAGGAAATGCTTCCTCCTGCCTGCAGCAAACTGATGATATCATCTCAGCCTAGGCAAAGTCACTGACTGCCACTCAAGGACACCTTTTCTGACATTGGATACTGTTTCTGCACTTTGTAACATGTCAGGGATATATCCACACCCATTCGAGGTCAATGACAGGTCCTCTTTAGGAATTCCCTGAGTTGCAGGAGAAGGCTGCGTTTCTCATAGTTGTGTCGTCTGCTGAATTTAGTATCACGTGGAATCTTTAGATGCGAGGACACGGGTCCCCGGTCAGGCTGCAGTCATCGCAGAGCGCTGCGAGTCCAAGTTGGTGGATTTCAATCCTTTATATAGTCTTATTATTATTCTTTTTTTTGGGGACTTAATACCAACCTTTCTTTTACAGCTGAACTCGGGGCTGCCTGCATCCGGGTCTGTCTGGACTGGGAGGTGATGATACTGTACCTGGCCGCCACCTACAGGCACTGTCGGGGTCCCTAGAATAGTGCACCCGACTGCCACCTACAGGCACTGTCGGGGTCCCTAGAATGGTAAATAGGTGTACTTCCGGTGTCACTGAGAGCCAGGTGCACACACCTTTCCACAGACACTGACAGTGCACCCGACTGCCACCTACAGGCACTGTCAGTGTCACTGGAATGGTGGAAAGGTGAGAGCCAGGTGCACACATCATTTTAGTGACACTGACAGCGCCTGTAGGTGGCAGCCAGGTGCCATGTCAGTGTTTGTGGAAAAGTATGCGCACCTGGCTCTCACCTTTCCACCATTCCAGTGACCCCAGCAGTGCACCTGGGTCTCATCTATCCACTATTCCATTGACACTGACGATGCACCCGACTCTCACCTACAGGCACTAAAATGCTTTGGGCAGTAGTGTACATAGGGGGGTGTGGCCCGCACCCAGGTGACACCATTGGTGGGGTGACATCAAAATGACTGACAGCCATTTAGGTGTCACCCCCTTTGAAAAGTGGGCACTCGGTCATGGACCGAGAGCCCGACAGTTGCAGGAGAGAGGAGGGGACCCGTCGGCATATCTTATCCCGCCGGGTGAACGTCCCCTTCCAAGATGGCCATCGGCAGGTATTGCCATGATGGCTGCGCATGTGCGTGAAGTCATCGCGAATGTGCGTGATGATGTCACGGTGGGGTGTCAACCAGTACCCCGCTTCAGGTGACACCCGGCCTCGGGGACACCCCTGGGTGTGGGTACCTAACTCTCACCTATCCACCATTCTAGTGACAGTGCCTGTAGGTGGCAGTCCGGTGCACTGTCCGTGTCTCTGGAAAGGTGTGTGCACCTGGCTCTCACCTGACCGAGTCTGTTAGGACTGCTGATATCACATCCAAGATGGCGGCACCCAGCAGCAGACTTACAGCTTTTGATTTCTACACAAAGTGGGCTTTGAGAAGTAAATAACACGCATACAATATGTTAAATGTTCACACAATCTTTTGGGAAGGCTGTTGTTGAAATGAATGATTTGGTGACAGGGTCTCTTTAATCCTTCCCCAATGCATCCAATGCCAAAGTGGTGACTTTTCTTGATACGTCCCACTGACACTTTGCTCAAATGTTTGCTGTCATTTTGCTCATACCTATTGATCGTTGGAGGTTTCCTTTAAGTGGCTGTTTCATCCTGCCCCCATGGAGGTCTCTGAAGGTTTAAATCAGGTGCTGGGAGGTGCATTGGACTCTTCTGCCCCGCACTGAGCAGTAAAGGTGTGGGTGATCTGGGGTCATTTGGTGGGGGGGGGGTTTCTTTGTCCAACTGTGTTCCCTAGTAGGGACAGGCCAGCTATCCTTTATCCAGGAAAATTGGGGTACAAGGGTTCCTTAGTTAAAAAGGTAAACCTAAAAAGTACAGGCCCGAGGCTGAGCAACCCCCAATACGCTGTCACCCTTATACATCTGTATGAAGTCTGATGGGAGCAGCAAACAGGGCCGAAGAGTCCGAAAACTTGGTAGGAGTTAAAAAATGCCAACATAGAACACCCATCGTGTTTCAGGGGCTTAGAGGACTCTCACTTGCTGTGTGTGTGGGGGGAT